GACTTTCTTCCTCCATCTGGGTCTGTCCTGCGCCATGTTGTTGACACTTCTCCAGTTCAGACCCATGGCCGCCAGGTCGTCCGACACCGTTCTCCTCCATGTGGTCTTTGGTCTGCCTCTTTTCCTCTTTCCTTCTGGCCTCCAGCTAAGGGCGACTTTGGGGATCCTGTTGTCAGGCATCCTCAGTACATGCCCTAGCCACTTGAGTCTTCTGCCAGTGATCTCAGTGGTGAGTTTCCTACAGCCAGTTCTGTTGTAAAGTTCGGCGTTGGAGATCTTGTTTGGCCAGAAGACGTTGCAGATCTTACGTAGACAACTGTTGTGAAATGAGTTGATCTTCCTCATGTCTGTCTTCGTCATTCTCCAACTCTCCGAGCCATACAGAAGGACGGATTTCACATCGCTGTTGTAGAGTCTGATCTTGGTCGTGAGGCTATACTGCTTCGACTTCCAGATGGTTTGTAGTCGGCTAAAGGAACCTCTTGCTTTGTCCAGGCGGGTTTTAATGTCCTTTTGTGCACCATCTGTAGCACTCATAACACTTCCCAGGTAAGTAAAAGCGCCTACACCTTCCAGTGCCTCCCCGTCTATTTTGATGGGAGGGTTTGCTGGAGTGTTGATGTACATCACTTGTGTTTCTTCTTATTAATGTACAAGCCTGTGCTTTTGCCACGGTCGCTTAAGCGGTCCGTCTTTTCCTGGAGTGATTTGCGAACAGGTGAAAGGACGGCAAGATCGTCGGCAAAGTCGAGGTCCTCAAGGTAAGTGTTCAGTGTCCATTTGATGCCACGAGGACGGTCTGACGTGGTTTCTCTCATTACCTAGTCAATAGTGATGAGAAACAGGATAGGGGAGAGGATGCAGCCCTGTCTTACACCAGACTTTACGTAGAAAGGTTTGGACAAACTGCTTTCCGTGATGACACTACATTCGAAGTGTTCGTAGAATTTCCCTATCATGGAAACTATCTTCTGTGGAATCCCATAGGCTCTTAGTATCTTCCACAGGCTCTCCCTATGTACACTATCAAAAGCCTTTTGAAAGTCAATAAAGTTTATCAGCAGAGGGGAGTTCCATTCAACACACTGTTCAATGATATTTCTGAGAGCAAAGATCTGGTCTGAGCAACCACGAGCTTTACGAAAACCTGCTTGTTCTTCTCTCAACTTGGTGTCTAGGGCACTGTCAATCCTTTTGAGGAGGATTCTGCAGAACACCTTGCTTGGGATGGACAATAATGTTATTCCCCGCCAATTATCACAGTTACTTAGCACACCTTTCTTGGGGATCTTAAAGATGAGTCCCTTCTCCCAGTCTTGAGGGATAACTTCATGTTCCCATATTTTGGCAAAGAGGTCTGTGAGTAAGAGTGTGGCTGTCGCACAGTCTGCCTTCAGGAGTTCTGCTTGTATAGCATCAATTCCTGGGGCCTTTCTGTTTTTCATGGCTTTAATTGCCGTTTCTACTTCTTCATGGCTGGGGGGGTCGGTGTTGATGGGCTTCCCCCTGTGCTGCTACCTTGTCGCGGTGGGGAGGCTTGAGTGCTTCAAGGAACCTGTGAGCTATACCGGCGGGGGAAGGTTCTTGGGTCCTTACAGGTCCCAGACCTAGACCCCCGGCAGGTCCAACCATGCCGGGCAGGTTGCAGGCGAGAGGCCAGACAAAAAGCAGCACCTGGCCCTCCAGGTTGGGGGTTGGTCGTGAGGCTAACAACCTCACACTGCAAAACAAACCTTGTTACTGAAACTATGACTTTTCTGCCCACGAGACCCCAGGGCCTGACTGGAAGCTCCAGCACTGCAGCAGCAGGCACCATGACAGCTCCTGATGAAAGCCTGCCCCAGGAAGTCAGGAGCCTGAATCGGAGTCTCCTCGGCCCCAAAAGTACCATCAAGATTGGAACATGGAATGTTCGCACTATGTATGAAATCTCAAAGACAGCACAAGTTAGTAAAGAAATGCTGCACTACAACATAGATGTTCTTGGAATAAGTGAATGCAGATGGACTGGTTCAGGGCGCAAAACAACTTCAGATGGCCTAACCATTCTTTATTCTGGAAAAGAAGAGCAACACGCCAGCGGTGTAGCCCTTATCCTGAACAAACAAGCAACAAAATCACTCCTCGAGTGGGAACCCATCAGTGACAGGCTGATGAGAGCTAGATTTGACTCTAGATTCTGCAAACTAACTGTCATACAATGCTATGCCCCAACCAATGAAGCAGACGATGACATAAAAGATGATTGGTATGAACAACTCCAAAGGGCAGTCAGTAAAACCCCTCAACACGACATGACCCTGGTAATAGGAGACCTAAATGCCAAAGTGGGTAGTGACAATGTAGGAAGAGAAAGTGCCATGGGAAGGCATGGATGCGGTAACATCAACGACAATGGTGAGAGACTTGTAGACTTCTGCCTAAGTAATAGACTGGTAGTAGGTGGAACAATCTTTCCACACAAGAGCATCCATAAGCTGACCTGGATTTCACCAGATGGAAACACTATCAACCAAATCGATCACATAATGATAAATAAGAAATGGCAGAGATCTCTTCTGGATGTAAGAGTCTACCGAGGAGCAGATGTGGGTAGTGACCATCACATGGTAGTGTGTAAGATCAGGCTGAAGCTGAGAGCTACACCCCCCTCTAAGAAACGTCGCAAGGTGTTTGACACCTCCAAACTACACACTCCAGAAACCAGACAGAAATTTGCCCTTGAGTTAAGGAATCGTTTCCAAGCCCTAGAAACTCTTGATGGCGAGGAAGAGCATGACACTGTAGAAACAACATGGAACACAATTACAAAGGTGTATAGGGAAACAGCAGAGAAAGTCCTTGGCTACAGAAAGAGAAATAACAAGGAGTGGATCACACAGGAGACGTGGAATAAGATTGAAGAGAGGAAAATAGCCAAAGGAAAGATGCTTAACACAAAGTCCCAACGAGCAAAGACACATACAGAACCAAAGACAAACAGGTTAACGCAGCGCTAGGCGTGACAAGAGAGCCTACATAGAGGAGTTGGCGTCTGAAGCAGAAAGGCTGCCACAAGGGGAGAGTTAAGTACAGTGTACAGAATAACCAAAACACTAAGTAACCAGAACAGTGTCTGCTCAGTTCCAATCAAGGACAAACAAGGTAAACTGCTTACAAATGAGAAGGAACAAGCAGAAAGATGGGCCCAACATTTCGAAGAGGTGTTAAACAGACCTGAGCCTGATCAACCAGCTGATCCCACTCCGTCTGATGATATTCCCATCAAAAAAGGTATTTACTACTGAATAAATATTTCTATTTTACTATATAAACTAAGCATTTGACTTTAACAAAAATTCATTCCGTGGAAAAAGGAGTTACTCTAAACCACTTGGTACTTGTGCAGTGGTCAGTGCAAATCACTGGGGGTTGATAGAGGGTTCCCTTTAGATTAAAAAAAAGATATTTACCCCTCACCCAATATTTACTATATAAACTAAGCATTTAATTTTAACAATTTTTTACAGCACATTCCGTGGGAAAAGGAGTTACTCTTAACTATTTGGTACGTGTGCAGCGGTCAGTGTAAAACTGCGGGTTAGGTGGGAGGTTCCCTCTAGAGTACAGAAGGATACCCCTCAATCGACATTTCCCGATACGTAGCATAGCGAGCTCTTATTTTGTATTTTACCGAGTACTTTACGATAGCTACATTTAAAAATTAAGCAATTAATTATGACAAATGTATGAAGTACATTCCGCGGGAAAAGGAGTTACGCTAAGTCACTTGGTACGTGTGCAGCGATCAGTGCAAACCCTTGGGGTTAGTTGGTGGGGTTCCCTTTACTTTACATTAAAAAAAAGAGATCCCGATTATTTATCAATACGTGGTACAGCGAGCTCTCATAATTTAACCGAGTACTCTACGATAGCCACATTAAAAAAACAATTAAGCATTTAATCTTAAGAGAATACATATATGACCATTTAGTACTTCTGAGATATGCACACTTTAGATATAGACGCCCGGGTGTTCAAAGCTTTGTACGTGTAAGATCATATTTCGCTTGTTTATCTATCATATATAAATATAAAATAGATTACTATCAACTCTTCAAGAGTTGAAACATGTAAGGTTTGAACCACTCACACCGGGAAGGACCCCTGCCCTTTTCGATACGTGTGGTACATATTTTCAACGGGTCAACAACCCTAACCACAAGACCACCTTGCCACCACTAGAGTTGACGTCACATATCGATACATTTGATTTGATTTGATTTGATTTACTGAAATTGCAACAGCGCAATACACGTAGGACACAGGCAGCTGTTGCTGGTGTTGTGTCCCACACAAAGAAACAAAGTACGGGACAGACAATACTCATTTTCACTTGAGTTAAGTGAGGAAAGTCGTGTGAAGTGCCTTTCTTACGGGCATAAGATCGGTGGCATGTCAGGACTCGAACCCGGGGCCTCTTGTTTCCGAGTCGAGCACTCTTCCGTTGCGCCAAACGACACTATTTGTTTTTTTTTGGTGTTTTTTTGTTTACAAAGTATCTATATTTTTTGTCGCCAGGACGAAAGAACAGACTACACTGCCGGGGCGGAGGAACTGAAGGTGGTGGAGGATAACATATATAGTGAGTGGAGCATCTGGACAGCCTGTTCCAGGACATGTGGCACAGGGGTGTCATTCCAACAGAGGAAATGTCTCACTGTCAAGTAAGTACAGGCTTTCTCTTACCATCGATAATCCATTCTTTAATCAATCCATCCGTCCTTCAATCCATCCATCCATCCTTCAATCCATCAATCCATCCTTCAATCCATCAATCCTTCCTTCCATCCATCCATGCAATCACCCTACCTTCCATCCGTCTATCCATCCATCCATTCATCTATCCATCCATCCATTTATCCATTCTCGCATCCATCCATCCTTTCTTCAATCCATCCTTCCATCATTCCATCTACACTTTCATCCATCCTTCCATCCTTCCATCCATCCATCCATCC